ATCTATCTATCATCTATCTATCTATCATCTATCTATCATCTATCTAATATATATACTTATTCGACTCAAAACCATTTTAATACCATCCTTGGTCTAAGGTCAAACAGTAAGATTTCCAGGGTATAAAAGTATTGAAAAGTTAGTTTACCAACAAAGCACCTGGGTTGGGTATGAGGAAGAATTAAATTTATTCATATGACTCCAGAGGGCAGAAATGGGATCTATAAGTAAAAGTTTCTGGAAGGTAAATACCACCTTTGTATATACACTTTAATTTCAAGCTGCTATCTATTAACTGAATAATTTGAAAACTCATGAACCTCACACCACTAAAATTATTCCAACAGAAGTAAGGACGTTGTCCATGTAAGACTTTCACTGAGTGGGGGTTTAGCCTCTACAAATTCTAATATTCTTTAAATGTTAAACATGAAATTAAATACATAGTCCACTCATCTACTGATGGGCACTGGTGGATGGGATCAAGGAAGGGGGAGAGGGACATCTGTAATACTTTCAACAATAAGGATAAATTTAAAATAAATTAATTAATTAAATAGATAAAAGGTACCAAAACAAAGTTTGCAAACAATTCTATCTACCCTTGTAACTTCATTTCCGTATCCAGAATCTTGTAAAAAAACTTAAATACATAGTGCATGCGATGGTAGATGAGTATACACTAATAAATAAGCACACTTTTATGAAAAATGTGCTTTGAAAATATTGGAAACATAATTCCATCGAGAGACATAAAAAATGTTAACTATGTAAGAAATTACCACTTATGTTATCAGAGTTAGAAGTGAATTTAATAGTGTAAGATTTTTGCTCAGAGTCCTTCTGAAGAACAGAATAGCTGCAGGTGAAGGCTGGAAGGAAAATTCAAAAGGGAGTGAGGTGAAGTGCTCTCAGAGTCAGATAATTTTATGACAATGGAAAAATTACTTACCTCCATCACCCTCTCTAATTGAGTTGTTGGTTAGATTAGAAATATAAGAGAAGTACAGAGCCCCTGGCATGTAATACACTCTCAGAATATGCTGGTTCTCGCCTCTGAACTCTCATAACACACTTTGTGTTTGAAACCATTTTCATCACCTCTTGGAGATTCAGCAGCTCCCAGGAGTAACACACCATCATTGATTTACACCAGAAACCAGGACTAATGATGGTCACTGTTAACAGAAAAGCCAGGGAGACAGCAATTCTCTAAGAGCACATTTTAGTGCGATTGATGCACTAAAAGGAGCTTATCGTGTGGTAATAATTTGAAATTTAAAATAAATGTTTTCTAAATTCAATAACTGTCGGTAAAGACCAGCATATTTCTCCTATTCTAGAGGCACAGGATATTGGATCTTTTGAAAAGATGTAATACTAATCTCCAAGTCTGACATCTAAGCTCCAACCGTTTAATTAGAAATCTTTCAAAGGTTGACATATTTCTTATACTTCCTAAATAAACAGGGTTTATTCTAAGACTTCAAGATATTGACACTCTTTGGGACCAGAAAGATCCACACATGGAAACAGATACTTTCTTCCTGTTTCATCCCGTCACTGAATGGCACTCACTTTGGGTCTGTGAACTGACATGAGGGAACTAATGCAAATAATTGGGTAATCCTCTTTCATACTCAATTCTTACCTTTTTGTTTGCTTTTTAAAGGTTGTTACTTAGCCTTTGATAGACATAGCCTTGGTATATGTGGCGACAAGTGTCTACAACAGTGTCTGTTACATTGAAAGGCCTCAATAAATAAATGTTACTTATGAAATCAATAACTTTTACATACATTCAGCAAATGTATGTTTGTGATAGGTCTATGAATCAAAAATATTACAAACATGAAGATTGTTTTCTACTTTTATTATTTTGCATCCTCTAAACAATGAATCAATGCTATATGTATTATTATAATTGATCATTCATGTCTACTCCTATTTCCTCATTTGGAAGGAAACACACTTTTCCCACAGCCAGGCACAAGTAGCTAATGAATGCTTGCTAAGTAGAATCAGGTTCAGATCTTCAACCCACAAATCCATCTTGAAAGAACCTGAGTCAGAACACTTCCATTGTAAGGATGTAATTTTGAGAACATAATTATTTTGGTCATTGCAGCGATTGTTTCCACATGTTTCCATCTTGGAATCACTGCAATAAAAATACCAGGATTAGGGGAATTGTACTAAGTATTTTCCATGTATGATTTGCTCATTTAATTTGCACACTAATCCATTTTCTAGATGAAAATTTGGGGCTTAAAGAGATTTTGAAAACTTTCCCCCAGCCCTGGCCGGTGTGGCTCAGTTGGTTGGGAGTCATCCCCTGCATGGAAAGGTTGCCGGTTTGAGGTTCAATTCCTGACCAGGGCACATGCCCGGGTTGCAGGCTCCTGCAGGAGGCAGCTAATAGATGTTGCACTTTCACATTGATGTTTCTCTCTCTCTCTCCCTCTCCTTTCCTCTCTCTCTAAAAATCAATACAAATATTAAAACAAAACAAAACACCTTCCCCCAGTCTATACAGCCAGTGAGCAACAAAGCAGGGTTTCCAGCCTGGGTCTACTGGACTCAAAGACTAATTCCTGATCTAAATTTAAGAGAGGTACAAAGTATCTAAAGGATCCAAGGCTTGGGAGAAGGACATGAAATGACAGAGGAGGTCGAATCCCTTGGATCATGGAATAAGCCAAAGTCCTGACTCTAGGCTGGAAGTTTAACACACAGAAAGAGATGTATACATATGAATCTGTAATGGGCCTCTTTGGTATTAAGTAAAGAACAACATTATTTAACATTCGGCAAACGTGATCCATTTTACAACCCACTTTAGCATACGTTACCTCATTTTCTTCCCTTAACTCTAAGTCAGGCAGGGCCATTATGATAATCCCTGTCTGACAGATGAGGGTCAGAGAAGTCATGAGACTTGGCTAAGCTCACTTAGCCAGTTAATGGCCACTCTGGGACTGAAATCCATTTCCTAATGCCCATTCCAATGTCCCTTCCACCATTCCATGCCAGCATTCCTAATGCTATGTGTAATTTTGTTTTGTAGTTTACAATGCACTTTCAACCATATTACCTACTAGATCTCATCTGATACTATTCCGTGGTCCCCAGGAGCACAGCTAATCTTTGATTCTAGCTTGTGCCTTGTGAGGTAATTGCTGCGCCTCAGGGGAAACAATTACTCAGGTAGGGCAGTTATAATACTCTGAAGAATTATTTTTTCATGATGAAAGCAATTTCTGCAGCTTTTGTTTGCAAAACCAACTCTAGCATATTTATTTAAAGATGTGTTAATTTTTGCATTTGATTTCTAAAAAATAATGCAGCTTTCACTCAAGATCACATACAAATTCTTCACTGCTGGGAAATACAGTTTTCTCTATTGGAGTATTACATTTTAGACAGATTCAGAAATGTATATCTAGTCTACATAATAGATCACTCTTTCAATCTTTTACCGTTGGAATCAAATTTATATAAAGTGGAATAATTCTTGGGTATTTCTTCATTTTGTAGAATTTACAAACAGTGAAAGTGACTAGGTACTTGGATGTACAGCCAGTCATTCACAGCTGCACCTAGAACTTACTTTTCCTGGTTTCTAAACCCACTCTCCGTTTCCATCATGGCATCTCTCTTAATTCTAGATTAAAATTGAGCAGTGACTTTTTTTTGTAAAGTCTTGGAGAGTCAGGAGGTAAGGGTCTGAATACTATCTCTGACACTGCCTACCTGTATAAACTTGGTAAAGACACATAGCCCTTCTACACATCAGGTGTGTTTAAAGATTAATTGAAGGTAAACAATTCTCTGTTCTATCAGGATGCTATAGTTAGTCCATGTAAAATATATATCAACAGCTACATCCAATGAGTGGCATAAGTACAGCACATTCACCCTGGGGCAGAAATCTCTCCTCTTTCATTCACCACTTGGATTTTTGAATTTTCCACAGAAGCAAAATCAGACATACAAGTGACTTGCCCTGTCTGCTTGGACCATCTCTACTCTATTCCAACTGA